AATTTCAGCAAGTAATGCAATTTAACTTGCGTCTTCAACGGCAGGAGGGTAGGAGATAACCTCATTCCTGGATATAAGGTGTTCCAAAGGGAGGGGAGGCATTGAAAAGATCTGTCATGTGTCCCATCCCTTATGGAGCTAGTGGAGTGATGGGACCTCTGGCCATAGCTTCCCATCACAGATTTCAAACAGGTAGAGTCTTCTTTCATCAAAATTGCTCAAATCATATATGCAAACATTATTTCCTTTTGTTGTTTGTCCCTGATAATCAATGGAGAAGCTCAGAACCTCACATCTTGTGGGTTTGGATCTGTTCTGAATTGGCTGAATCTGAAGAGAACTGGTGATAATTGCTTTCCTCTATTTCTTATTGAGAGAGAAGATCTGCTCATTTTCTTGCAAATAAAATTATCTGTGAAATTTTGCTCCTGAGAAATTCCTAACTTTCTTGAATGTGCTTTTATATGACTTTTCACATAATTTTATATTTATTAGAAAGGAACCAAATATATTACATTTCTTGGTCTTTTTGACAGCTTCAATTTCTGACTGGATAGGAGTAATGAAAAGAAGGATTTCATTAGTTCTGGCTTCTGATTGGCAAAATATTACAAATGCATCCTTTTTTAAAAAAAACTAAATCAAAATGTTTGTCTTCCTAATCAAATATAAATTTCTAAAAAAGCAGATGTTCCTGGGGCCTGACCTTTACCAAAGCTCTTTTTCATTTCTTCTTTTTTTCATGGAAATCCAGGAGATTCAATACATCTGAGCACTGAAAAAATAATCAGTTAAACATTCTTGTTGACTGCTTGCCAGAACTATAAAGTTGTTACATTTTTTTAAAAAAAACTTTAATTCAGAATTATGACCTAATTAAATAAATCTATCTAGACCCATCATTTAATAGAGGGGGGGGGGAGATCCATTTCTTCTACATGAAAAATAATAAAATCAATTTAGATAAATATAAGTGCTTCCAAACATCTGCTATTCAAAGTACATAACTCACATAACTCACAGGTTGGTTTGTGTTTTGACTGGAAGCGTTTGATATTATTTTTGTCTGCAAAGGAAAGAGTTGTGTAGCATCCAAGTGGTGAGATATTTGCCCTTTAGGCAATCATGGTGGATTTGGGACAAGAAGATGACTGTTTTTTTAAAAAAAAAAAATCACAGTGAAAAATACTTGCTTTCCTTTAGGAATCTTTGAGGTATGAATTATCTTAATGTGCAGATCTTCCAAAAGAAAATAAAGAGTAGCAGAAGAGAATAATAAAAAGTAGTTTAAATCTGTTAGACTCTCTTTTGTTGGGCACAGAATTGTAGTCTGTCATGTCTGTTGACTCTCAGTTTGGATGGAAAGACATTTTAAAAATAAATCAACACCATTTAAGAACCACGGTCTGCTTGAGATACAGTATTCAATGCATTCAATACATCTCCACAGCATTACTCCCGCATCATTGTTAATTAGCTTCATTAATTTCTCTTGCTAATGGCAAACCACTCTGGTTTCAGTGGGATTTACTGCCATGTTGAAAAGATAGTTCATGCGATCCCGTTAAAATAACTGTTAGAAGCAGGTTATACAGCCCTTTCCCACGAAAGGCTGCATATCCAGAAGGGCTGCCAATGGCAAAATGGTGTGAGCAGCATAGAAAATTCTATGCACAAAACACAGGACCTACAAGATGAAGAAAGAAGGGAGTGATTGACCCATATGCATATAGAACTATAAGTATCGCATCTTAATTATTTGAAATTCTGGGATTTTTTCCCCAGTTTGATCAATATCAATATTAAGGTGCTTAAATTGCATATATTTTGGATTTTAATATTTAATTTTCGCAATGCCTAATTGAAATTTATTTTCTTGTAATTTAAAATAATTGTTTCCTGTCCTGTTTTCTGGAAGAATTCTCAGGAGTTCTATTCCATCTTCTACATGAACTGTCCCTTTAGTCTTCCCAACACATTAAACCCAATATATCCAACTATTCCTTTCCTGTTTTTCCTCCCAGTATTCTTATTAACTTGATTCTCTCTTTTGGAGAATTCCCTTGATTCTCTCCCTTATACCATATTTTCAATGCAGCATGAGCAATGCAGAATACAGAGGAATAATGACACCTTGATCATGACAGTATTTGTTTCTGGTAATGCAACCTAGGATTGCATTTGCTTTGTTTTTTTGCTTATTTTTGTTTTGTTTTGTGCGGGTAGGGGTTGATTTTTTGGGTGTGTGTGTGTATAGTTACCTCCCATAGTTGGTTTGCATTCAGCTTGCGATCTACCAAAATACTTGCCCTTTAGAAATGCTTGGAAGGCATGGAAATACCAATAACAAATAAAACAATTTTTTTTATGTATTGCTGCCTTATATGATCTCCACATTCTTTACTTCATATCTTTGATTTTTTCAACCCAAATGTAGCGCGTATTTCAAATTCATTCTGCTAATTTCGGCTCAGTATCCCAGCATGTTGAGATCCTCCTAAATCTTGGTATCATCCTATAATAATAGTACTATCTCTGTATCATCAACAAATTTGAAAATAATCTTTTCTAAGTCTTTCTTCTAGACATTCATAAATATGTTGAAGAACACAGTACACAGAATGGAATCCAGTATGCCTCTTGATTCCTATAACTATTGACATATATTTGTTTTATTTTATTTTATTCACAATCTGGGTGGTTAATAATAATTAAAATATTCACTGAGTAAAATTTTTCAACCAGCTCTGTACACATCTAAGGATAGCATGGTCTAGTTTGTATTTTGTTATCTTTCCCAGTGGTATCTCGCTGTAGTTTTATAATTTTAAGCAAAGTAGTCAGAACAAGGTTGTGTTGGCATAAGAATGTAACAACAAAGCTTTGCTAGTGGGCACACAGTTTTACCTTTACTATCCCGCCCCTGACTAGTGCATCTGCTAAACCAATTACCCATAGTATGTGGTCTAAATACAGGACATGTGATTGATTCTGGTTATAACTACCCCCCAAAAATAACCAACTACATATATACAGTAATTCTAAGTACTGTTCATCTTGGGTGAAATGTTTACTATAAATAGACCACAGTAAAAAGAAGAAGCTACCAATTCTGTTTGCATTATAACGGGGAGGCAGGGACTGTCTAAATAATCTATGTTCTGTTTCTTGGGCAACCTATGATAACTTTTTAGTGAATTACATCCCGGACAATGCTTAGAGTGACATGTATAGCAGCTATTTGTAGAGTTATATAAAACCTTTCAAAGAGAATATTCATTAGGAAGAGAGTGGAATGAAGTTGCACACATGTACATAAAACTGGGTGCAGTTTACAACGGTGAGTGCAGTTGTTCAGGGTTGAACAATGAAGTTTTTGGTGCTCTCTAAACTTGCTTGCAGAAGTTTAATTACCTAGGTAGGTAACAGCATTAGTGTTAGTGAATGGATGGGTGTGGGTCACTCCCTGTTTATATTCAGTACAATAGCCTGCCTTGTCAGTATTGTGGGAGTATGGTTCTCTCCTTGGTAATTCCTTGATTAGGGTATTGTTTACTTCTTGATTGTTTGTCTGGTGTTAATCTCTGCTTATCTAGGGGTTAGTTGCTGGAGAGAATGTGTTCTGATCTTTTTGTTTCCTTCTTAGGTTTTTATTCTCTCTTTTGAATGGTGTAAATGTAGTTTATCTCTATATATCTAGTGATGCTGATTGTCTGAATGCCAAACTTCCAGAAAATCTTTAGTAGTTTTTGGTTTTAGCTTGGTCACAGTTTCCCAGCTAAAAATATGGTTGAGTCAGACCACGTGTTGTGAAATTGAGAAGTTTCATTGTGTCTTCTAACTGTCTTCATTGTGTCTTCTTGGTATTCATGGATGTATTCTGCTAGCATTCTGCTTTTCTGTCTTAGTAGCTGTTTATACCACCACCAGATCTGCAGAGCAGAGGATCAGACAGTCATCAGGGGCTCCCAGATGACAATTTTAACCCCACCCTATATCCTGACTTTGTAGCTGATATTGCTAAATTTGTAATTGGGTGCATCTCCTTCCTTCCTTCCTTCCTTCCTTCCTTCCTTCCTTCCTTCCTTACTTACTTACTTACTTACTTACTTACTTACTTACTTATACATGTCAAGCCAGCTCCTTCATTCACAATCCAATCATTGATGATTACATAGCAATCTGATTATGCAGTTTGAATTAGAAGCAAACAGGCAACCAATGCAGTTCCCACATTATTGGTGTTCTGCAACAATTCTGGGCTGCTGAATTTTGTACTACTGTTGTTATAATTTCTTGGGGACCTTCCAGATAGTCCAATGTAGAGTATTTCTTCTACTTTGGAAACTGTAACAACTGGTGCATCAGCCAAAAAGATGCACTTGGGCCACAGTTATCACCTGCTGTTCTAGCAGGAGTTGAGAGTCCTCAGGCTATTCACCAGTTCTTTCTGAAAGATCCTATCATTATTTTCATTCAGTAGGTTACCCAGAAATTTGATTTCATTTAGATGGCTGAATATATCCAATTTCTTAGCCTTCTTCTTGACTGTTTAATTTCTTGGTGCAAACTCATTATAGTTCCACCTTAAATGGCATGAGACAGTTTGTATAATGCCTAGAATCTGTTCAGTATTTCAATATGCTGCGCATAATAGTATGTCTTCTCATTTTTTACATTTTACAATAGATATATTTTCAATGCATATACTGATATTGTAAAGTATGTCTCCCTTCTATCATAGATAAAAAATTACCTCATTAATTTACATGTCATTTTTTTTAACATTTTGCACTATGGTAAACATTACGCTACAATTACAATACAATAAATCCTTCCTTGATTACAAAACTGTCCAGCAAGAGAATGACCAATAATCATTTGAAATCTGATTTCAGTGCAATATTCTTTAGAATGAATGAGTGTATATCTGTATGAGTATGTACACACACATATACACGCCGTTTCCTTTACTTAATGGGATTCTTTCCTCGTTGCAGTGCAAACGGCTGGAGCAGGAGCTTCATCATATGAAAGAGCAGAACCAGACTTCTGCAAACAACCCTAGACATCTGACTGCTAAAAACAATCAAGAACGTGCTCTGAAGGTAAATCTCCATTCCTTCTAGCAGGCAAATTAAGGTTGTAAGCCCTGGGTGCCAGCTTTCTCTGCTGCATAGATCAGTTGTGTACATTTCAGCAGAAGTGAGCTGTGCTGTTTGCCAACAACCTCTTCTTTAAACACAGATACAGCACCCTTCTGTTATGGTATTATTTTGTTCTCTCTCTCTCTCTTTCTCTCTCTCTGTCCCTCTCTCCCTCTCTCTCAATGTGAACGCAAGTGTGAACGCAAGAAGACAAAGCAATATTTTTTTCAAATTTTGACCAGCTATCTTGTCCTACCGAACATTAAATTGATACAAATTCTTTATAGCAAGCAGAATTGCAGATCTGCTATATTTGGAGAGAAACCCCTCTTTGTCTGTCTGGTAGTGACTGTGTTCTTAAAAAGTGTCTTATCTGCTTTCCACGCCCCAAATATTATATGATGTATTAAGAAAATTATTTACCTATTGTATTAATAACCACATTGTTGATACTGATGTTTGCAAACAGGCAGTTAATGATTTCCTCTTCCGAGTCCCAGATTAAAAACAACTCTTATTGTAAAAGATAAAAGGGAGTAAGAGATGTATCTTACTTCCTCATTAATACTCTCAAGGAAGTTGGTAAAAACCTTCAATTTTAGGATGGAGTTTCTAAATAGAGCTTTCAGTTTGGAATTTTAAAATATTCTTATTCCCAGTTTTTAATTTACATTGTAGAGGAAGTTGGTGTGTGCTTTTTTTTTTTTTGCTAGTTTGTAGTTAACCTTGGAAATCCTTAGGAGGAAAAGCAGGACCTAAAGATTTTCAGAACTTTTTCAGTGCCAATATTTTACATTTTGTTTTTAAAAGACCGAAAGAGGGAATTCTTAATTCATCTTAACAAGTTTAAAGAAAACAAAACAAGAAGAGAGAAATCATTCTCAATAGGCCTATAATTTTTACTCAGTTCCTATCTATATCTACTGTTTAACTTTGTTTTCAATAGACTAGCATACTTGACTTAGGTTTTAGAAGTAAATATAATGTTACCTCTGTTTTATTTTTGAAATATGAAATAGGTGTCTCTATTAATAAACGGATTGTACCAACTCATAAAGCTGAGCTTATTCTTCTGACTTACTCTTAAGAGTTGAGCCCAGGCAACTTTTATGAGGCAACAGAGATAAATCTGCTGTCTGCTTGGTTGTCATGGGAGTGTTCAAAAACCTCTTAGATGAAAGGAAAATTTAGGCAGCTGTCAAATAAAATGTACTGTAGCTTATCACCAACTGTTTCATGTGTTTGTAGCATTAATTCTTTCATTATCAAAATCACAGCTCACTTTTTTAACGTTATAAAACTGTATTTGTTACATTGATCTAGCCTTTTTCCATGTTGCTACATTTAGATATTTTAAACCTATGGTGGCATGGGTATCAATAAAACTTATCCAATTCTGGGGTTTTTTCATTTAAAACTTTAATTTAACTCTATATATTAATATGTTTGAATTTATAGTCATTTAACAATGTGGGCAAATGTTTTTTCTACAACTTAAAAGATAAAATATTTGAAGCTACAACTTGAAAAATAATGTATTTCATTAGTGCTAAAACATTTTGTAATAAATGTGGCAACTTGCAGTCTGGCTAAACTAAAATAATTAACATCATACTGTTGATCTCTGTAGTATTTCTTCCATGTACAAGATTTATAGTTCTTTGAAAGACATCATGTTCATTTTTCCAGCAATGGTAGGTATATGCAAGTCTAATAAGTATGTTTATAATTATTACAGTACAGACTGGGTTAGGATTTTAAAATTCTCACTGTAATTTTTAACATAATATAAATAAGTTGAACATTATTTACAATAGGAACAAACAGATTTTGCTTACATTGATTGCTCAAACTATTTTTTCTTCTGAAAACCATGTGTTTCTGGCACACATTTTACCCAATAGACTAGACTATTAAACCAAGTGGTCTTTTTTTCACTTTCAAGAGGAGAAAACCTATGCAGCCATCCACAGTAGGATTATGACTCAGCTGATACTTGCGTGGTGCTTTCTTTTGATGAATAGTACTATTTATTCATTTGAATTATTAATTCTAACTGTATGTCTAAATGTCTGTTTCACTTAAGATTGAAAGTACAGTAGTTACTGTTTAGCTTCTTACTGAATGGACCTTGTGGTCAAGGAAAGGATTTTATCAAGAAAAATGTATTTCTGAAACCAAAACAGATTGTATAAAAGAGTGGCATTAATCTTAGCAAATCATTACGCCTGAAGAGAGGAAATACAATACAAAGCATTAATTTCTTTATCCATAAAGACAAGAAAATTATGTATCATAGAAAGGTTCTAGTATTGTTCCTAATTACCTTTGGTTGTATGTTTAAAAAAACATGTATCTAATTTAAATCTATAGACAATCAGAGCAACAGAACTCGAAATATATATTGGTATCCCATTTTTTATCATTTATTCCAAAATAATATTTTTTCCTTTTGGAGGGGCTCATGATGACCAAAAGATAGTATGTCAGTTAAGTGAAGATAAGCTGAGGCTGTAACTAGCAAAATTTGGAAAGTCTAGTTGCTTTATAAGATCAGTATGTTACCTATCATAGCCTTATTTGGTCAGATTCCTTTCTGATTCTTATTTAACTATCTCTAATTACATAGCTACCCATCTCACAAAGCAACTACATGTTATAATTACAACTTATGAGTCATAGCTAGCTTAGTAATTGACAATATTAGCTGGGCATTACAATACCATACATCTGGAGGGTACAAATATGTCAGCACTGATAGGGAATTCTGGGGCTTGTAGTCCCTATGCAACCGAGGATTTATTGTAATTACAGGGACTGGGGTAACAGAATAATAGAGAGGATTCAAAGATATTGCTAAATATGCAAGGGGAAAAAGGAGGGGAAATCTGCTCATTTCAGGCAGATACTGGTGAAGTATAAATGGTTTAAGACACAGGTGTCAAACTCGCCATGTCACGTTGCCGTTACTTGATGTATCGTGACATTTTTCCCCTTTGCGGAACTGGGTGGGCCTGGTCTGCATGTGACACATCCGGCCTGTGGGCTGCCAGTTTTACATGCCTGGTGTAGGATAACCCTAGAGAAATTTTCTTGGTTTTAGTGGAAAATACAGTGAAAACACTGCCCTTCATGTGCTACAGAACTAAAAAAAAATTCCTGTTGGATAATAGTTAGGAAATACTGAGAAATGACTGAAATAAAATAGCAATTAATTTAATTTTTTTATTTACCTCAAGCGCATAATAATACATTGTTGCTTGTCCTGTACAAAAATGATGTTAAGTGATTTCCGAAACTCTTTGCCCCAAAGGTAAGACATAGGAAGCTCTAAATAACAAAGGTCTTTTTCTGACCGATCTCTGACCTTCTTATCTGAAATACCATTCCAAGTTAATAGAATCTACTTTCAGTCTCCAGTAGACACCGAGGAGACATAGGTGGGGCAAGTTTTATATAAATATTTCTAAGGTATGTCTTTTTTTAAAAAAAATGGCACCTGAGCCCCTCTACCTGATAAAGTTCAGCTCTTGTGTGTTGTATGCTTTGAAATTTGTAAATGTCATGAATGAGGGAATTTTTTTTCTAGGCAGGGTGGGACAGTAAAAGGGGAGGCCTTAATGTATTCCCAAGACTTCAAACTGTCCTTGACACAGCAGATATCACATATTTGAAATTTACCAAATCTCCTTTCATTGCATATCACCAAACCAACTTCTAATTCGTGCAACCCTAATTCATCCGCCAAATTCTGAAAGCAAAATTAGTTAGGCAAACCCTACCCTGTGGCTCTCCATGAATAGGTTTCACTTATACGCTATCATAATTATATAATTTAAGGTTTTTTATCAGAATTTGCAACTGTTTTCCACTGGGAAGCTGGAAAAACTATTAGAGTACAAATGGAACAAGAGTGAGCTGTATAAAGTAAATAACTTGCTACAAAATAAAGTTGGTTTTGTAAATTAAAACCTTTATGGATTTTAACAGAAATGATATTCATAATGCTCATAGATGTTTATGCTTAGATATAATTTGACTTTTAAAACCTTAAACAGGTGGTATCAAGTTGCTTGACCTCACCATGTAGTGTGTTCTTTGTTACGGCAGATTAATTTAAATGACTTTCCTGCTTGTTGACTTATGGTCCTGTTTATGAATAATGGGAAGCTATTTTTTTTCTATATGTGACAAGGTCCAGCCAATGTTTTTACTTTGAAATTAGCTACCATATTTTTGCTACTAAACTCATGAATCTGTGGTTTATTAAACTATGATTAAAAGGGAAAAATGATCACAATATTGTTTTAAGTTTTAAGAAATTCTCACTAATCAATGGGCTGGAATTGTACTAAACCTAAGCAGTAATGTGGTTTGTTTGCTTTTGAATTACCATAAGGCATGGAACTATCCATTCTAGCTTAATAGTAAGATTCAGGTCACAGCCGAACAAACCATAATTCTCCAAATTCAGACATTATAGATAAAACAGTTAATTTTAATGCTTTTGGCTCATCATCTAGCATACTAGAGAAAAAATATGAAATAAAGAAACGTAAGTGTCAGACGTTACTAAATCATGGATATCACCACAAATAGTCCTAGAACAACTGACTTTTAATCAAAGTCCCTCAAATTATAACAGCTTTTTCGATGTGTGTGTGTGTGTGTGTGTGTGTGTGTGTGTGTAGGTTTTGTCAAAATGATAAACATATTGTTGTGATATTACAGTGCAAGTCACTTTCCTTATCGAGAAGGCATGCAATGCCAAGATGCACATACAAAAGAGGTGAGCTTTGCTTTGTGGTATCACGTTCCCAATTTGTCTTTTGCCTTCCCCCATGACTATCCATGGATGCAGAAGTAACAAGAGGATGAGTAATGAAAGAAGGCAAGTCCTGTGTTGCCTGTAAATGTAGAAACTTCAGGTATAGTTCAAATATACACTGCAACTATTTTCT